CAACTCCTTCTTTTGACTCTTGAGGAAGTGAGACCTAAAGTGTGGAGAGGGGAAGAATAAGAAAAGCTGGGAGAGGAAAAATGGAAAGAAAGAGTACTCAAGAGAGAAAATAATAGAGGAAAGGGGGAGGGCATGAATCGAAGCAGCATCTGGGAGACTCAGTCTAAGAAGCGCAGGTCTCTGAGAAGCACATTCCGTCCTGGCTATCATATGCAATCCTGTCACATGACTGTACCAGCTATATTTAGCTCCAATGTAACTCAAGTCAATAGTGTTCCATACAACAGCTGCTGCAGAGTCCTGAAGAAATGTTTTTACTACCTACCCTGGAATAGCCGTGTCAAGGGTCCGGCCTTCACAGCTGCAGAACTCCACTATGTTTATATACAAAGCAGCAGCATTTTGAACATAACTGATATGACTGTTAACATAGTTTAGTGGCCTGCTGTATAATAGAACAGCACTTTCAGAAGACCAAAGTCATTACTCTCAGTTCCTGAGGATGTCCCCTCCCCCAATCCCTGCAAGCAAATATTGGCCCGTACCTTATATGGTGTGTTCTCTCCTGAGACCTTCTCTGGTTTTCTGATCTTCACTTTAACTCCACATGGGGCTCTATGCTTTGGAAGAATACTTTTCAATGTCAACTCAAGGATACCCAAGCCCAATGACCCACAGAAATACCTACAGGTTTCCTCTAATGCCAGGGGAACATAGGTGACTCCTACTGAAAACAAAACAAAAACAAACAAACAAAAAAATCTTGGTTCTTGGAGGACTGGCAGGTTACCAATGTGCATATCCCATGGCCAGAAATGAAGACTTGCTACCACTAAGAAGTGAGAAGTCTAGGAACCACTGAGAAAGCCAAGCTTCACCTGAATAATTCATTAAATAATTATGAGTCATCGTTCTCAATAAGGCATCTTATCAGATTTTGTGAGACAAACCACACATAGGCAATCCCTTTGCTCTGAAGGAGGTTCGGTTATGATGTGTGCATAAAGCAGTCACACAGATGGGACAGGGAATAGATAAATGGGCTCAAGATGAATGCTGAGGAAGGAAGAGACAGCTGGAATCTAAGAAGCCTGGGAAGGTTTTTCAGAGGAAGACACTTCTTTCTTGAAGAATGAATGGGGAATTGACAAGCAAGGAGAGCATTCCAGTTGAATGAGATAAAAGAAGCAAAGATGTCCCTTATTCTTTAGTTGTATATAGTCAGATGCTTTTGCACAGCTAAAGTCCCCAATCCTGTGCCTTGACAAGTATCAATGGGTTCTCCATAATTGATTCCTGGAACAAAAGCCGTCTACACAAAGATTCTTGCCAAGAATCAACCTACTTATCTATGAACCTTTCTTTCATGAAACCAGGCTAGGAAAGGTGAGCAGAAACTATCATACAAAATGTTTGAATCCTCAGAAGAATGACTGTCTCTGCTTCCAAAAAAGATTCAGGGCCAGTGACATTGCTGTAATAAAAAAAAAAAAAAAAAAAAAAAAAAAGGGAGCAACAGCCCTGATCTGAATCTTGAAAAGGAGATTCCCTGGAGGATGGTGTATGCCAATTATTTCTGCCTGGCAGAGGACAGCAAGAAAGGAGGCAAGTGCCAGGTGGGGTGAGGAGTTTACTGTAGCCACAGTTCACCTATTGGCTGTCTAATTCCTTTAACCTGGGTTGGTCTGAAGGGCTGAGAAGAACATTCTCATTAGGGTATGAAATGGATCATTTCCAGTGGCCAGATGGTTCCCCATAAATACATTAATGACTTTATAGGCATGTCTGCTTGGAAAAGGAACAATTTCACTACCAAAATGTGAGAAATTGTCCTTTTGGACTCTGGGTAATCTAAATCTAAGACCAAAAAATTACCGAAAAAAAAAAAAAAAACCTCTGTGTTAACTTACTCCATTTCCCACATCTCGTTCTTTTTAGATGACAAGCTCAATAAACAAGCATAATATTTGTTTTAAAATGAAAAAAATAAAATGCATCACAACCTCCAAAAGTCATTCAAACAATGTTGAGAAACACACAAATCCACACATATGCAAACCAGTGCACATACACACACATACTCCTCGTTGGTATCAAAGTCGATGCTTCTACTGCTGAGCATGGCTGTGTAGTGACAGAACTCATGTACGCTTCAACTGGATGACTTTCCAAAGGCAGTCACGTCTCCGTCAAGAAGTTCCTTTCTTCTACCTCGAAACAGCTCCCAAACCTGTCTCATTCTCTCTGTCTAATCCCCCATCCTCATCCCTCACCCCAGCTATAAGAGTAGCTTCCTAGAACTTCCAGAAGGATCTCTTTACAAGCAAATCTGATCTTGTCCTACCCCTACTTGACCTTTTAGTGGCTCCCATTGCTTTTAAGCTAGAGATAGGAAATATTTCTCCTGGTCAAGAAGGACGGGCCAGGTGCTCACTCCAGTCTCATTTCTCATCAGATCATTTGTTCTACATTGATCCTCAAGTTCCTCAAAATTTCCTAAGCCATACCTACTCCCTTTCAGGGCCTTTTGGAAGAACCTCCTCTTTGCTGGGCTTCTCTTCCCTTCTCCATTCACTGGCTCACTCCTGCTCACTCCTCTGCATAGATGCATCAGGAGAGCTTCCTGCCTTTCCCAGCATCACAGGTTTTCAATGTCCTTGCCATTTTGAAATGGTTTATTTACATTTTGATTGTTTTTCGTGCTTGGAAGGCCACCAGGGTTGGTGTGAAGATCAAATCTGAGAATGATCCTTAAAGAATTATAAGCAGAATTCCAATGTAAATCCTTGCTTTTTTCATTGCATCTTCTAAAAGACTCCTAGCCCCCAAAACAAAGTGAAAGCAGAAGCATCACTTTCCTGAAACATCAAAAGGAAATGACATCCAAAGCAGGCCTTTTTTTAAATTTATGTTGGGCTAAGACGGTAGCCACCACAACTTGGTGAATAATTAGCCTTGAGGTCCCCTGGCATAAAATAAAAATCCGCTTCCCTCCGGCCAGAGAAACCACTGACAACCACCAGCCTGCGTTTTGACAATTTCCCTGCCCATCACACACCTGGTTCCTAAGGCCCCAGTAGCCAAAGGGGAGTAAATATTAACTATGGCAGGGAATGATTTGTCAGTCTTGAACAGCTGTCCACAGTTTCCAAGGTACTGACCTGAAAAGGAGATGAAAGGAACGAAGACTAGGGTAGCTTCCACGCTGGGCAGGACAACTTGCCCTTGCCTCATGGTCTGCTATCTATCCAGTGATGCTGACTTCTGTATCTGCACATTCAGGTTCCTTTACCCTTTGGTTTTAGCCAAGAAGGGGCACCAGCAGGAGATCACAAAAGGGAGGTGAGTGAGGTCAGAAGAATTGTTCTCCCAGCCTCCTCCCTGCTGGGTCACCCCAGGCTAGTTGTGTCTTTAACCAAAGGCCACAGCTCCTATCAAATATGCCTCCAACAGAGCTTGCCTCTTTCTAGCTCCCCATCCCCAGCAAAGCTACACATTCTGAAACTGATCCTACTTTTTCAAGCCTAGTGTGATCATGGTTCTCCTGGGCTATGACTATCCCTATGATGCTACAGCAATCTTTGTGGTTTCCCTACACCCAGCTCACAACCTGGAGGTAGAGAGACATCATTTTAATAAGCACACACATGAGCAAGAGTACAGTTTTAGGAGATGAGTTTTAGGAAGTAAGGAATGTGTTTCTATGCATGCCTGCATTTCTGTGATCTGGGGTGGCTACAAATTCTAATAGGCAAGGCTTCCCAGAAAAATCTCTCCTTGATCTGATATCAGAACTAGACCAAGTTTAGGTGGGGCATGGGTAGGAGGTTAGTGGAGGGAGCAGGAAAAATCCCAAGCAGAGAGAACAACCTATGCCAAGGCCCTGACTCACTCTCATACAAAGGTTCTCAACTGTTTATTAAAGCTATTATGGGGAACACAATGCCATTTTAAATGTCTGCACAAATAGAAGATGTTAATGATAGTCATAATTCTGTTAATAAAAATCCTTAAGTTTTGATTTTACTTCTCCAACACATAAAAGTTTCTTGTAGGCCAGGTCTTGCCCACAGTGCCCAGCACAATGGCTAAAATACAGTTGAAGTCCAATAAACACATGCAACTAATTAATTGATTGATTGATTGATGATTGAGGAACCAAAGAATGGGGAAAATCCAGCAGTGACCTAGCACTGCCTATTAGCAGAGGTGATTGCATGAAATGCGGATGAGCTGACTTCAGGCTAAGTATGGAGCTGACCTTGGGCAATTTACACTTACCTCTAGATAATGTTGGTTCAGGTCTCAGGCCTCAGGATAGGAGATAAGCGAAAGTTATTTTGGTCTTTTGAATGCTTAGGAAAAGAGCCGAGCCACATGGGTAGTGACCTCCATTTCTAGGGCAATATGTTAAATTCAGTCTCAGTGTGAGGTTTCCAGGTCTCCATAAATTAAAAACACATCAGAGAAGAGTAGAGGTTTCCCTAAAACCCAAAGATACCATTGTGGAAAGCCCCTGTTGGCTGAAAAATGATGGCTTTCCTCATAAAGCGGAAGTGGTATTTTAGATTCAGCCACTTTGTTTTTTCTTTCCACCTTGGGGTGTAAGTTTGACTCCCGGGTATCTTCCCATACCTCAAGTAGTAATAAACAACCCAACAAGAGGCCAAATACGTCAACTTTCACTTAGGTGGCAGGCATTTCATTGTACCAGAAAGAAAATGTGGTCAGAGGGACATCTTCATTTCTGTAATTAACCTCAGTGTGGCCTCAGGGAGCGCCGTCCTTCTCTGGGGTCCAATTTTCTCATCAATAAAATGAATGGCTTATGCTAAATGATCTATGAGATCTTCGGATTTCATGGTTTTGAACACTATATTTTGTTATTGTTTCAGCAACTATGTCTTGAAAGTCCACATGTTCTCAATCTTATGTTATTTCTTGGGAGGGAACAGTCCAGCAGCCAGAGCTTCTTATTTTGTGATTATGGTCCTCCTAAGAGGGTCCATGAATCTCCAGCTGTTGCATGTAACATTTTGTGTCTATGTGTATTTTTCCTGGCCTAAAAGAGTCCATAGCTTTTGGGTCCATATATGGGCCCTATATGCTTCTGGCAGAACAGCATAAATGTGACTGCTTAGATGTCAGGGAATGTGCTCATAAGACACCAGCATCAAGAGCAAGCCCAACATGAATCCACCTGCCATGCACTATGACAGCCTGGGTTGTCTTCCCAACCCATGGTTAGGAAGATTTCAGGAACAGGATGGCTCTGGATTTGAGATGAGTTCAGAGGCAGACTGCTAAAGAGAAGGAGAATTTGGGAAGCCAATGCAAAACTGTAATCGTGGGCAAAATACACTGTGTTCTCAAGAACATTTTAAAAAGTCTCCAATTGCTGTGGGAATTAGCTCTCTCCCTGGCGTACCTGGAGGTTCACACACTTTTTCTTTTCTACCTGTCTTGCATTAACATCAGTCCCCAGAGTACTGGGTTCTAGGAAACAGTAGGGCTCTGTTTTGCAGCTGGGAGGTGGCTCCAGAGAGAGCTGCCATTTTTGTCAGGAGAATACTAAGAGGTCATGAACCTGCATCTGTGACTTAGCCTGGATGGGGCCACATCCCACCAGGCTATACCAGGGGTAGGGATGGGGTAGCGGCTTGGTGCTTTTCATCATAGTTAACAGAGAATAAGTCATGACAGCTAACAGTATCATATTGCTCTGAGATTAATGCAAAATGATAGCATTCAATGATTTTAAGGTAAATTTAAAACATATAATGACAGAGTGAAAGCTATGCCTTACAGTTATATATGCATGTGAGGAAAACATGTCTAAATTGAAGCTTAGGAGCTATAACTTACACAGTAAGTGCTATTATTCAAAAATTTAAACATATGTGAGACAACTTATAGCAAATATGCTGACATATGGCATTGAAACCAGTATGTCAACACTTACAAGTAAGAAAACATCTATAAAAATACAATAAGCACAGTTCTCTCTTTACATTTAGGCCACAAATGAGACCACTGCTGAACATCTCTGGTTAAGCATTAACACACACCAGGATCCGCCTGTAACCTGTTTGTTAAGGTGCAGTGCCCCAGCTAATTAATACATCACTGGCAGATCAAGTTCAGGGAACAATATTGAGCAAGTGCATTCCTGAGGCCTCATTTACCCCCTTCAGGTAGGAGTAAGTCCAGAAGGAAAAGGGGATAAGGGAGAGGAAGGAGAGAGAGAGGAAAAAAAAATAAACGAGAGATTATTATTTTGCTACAGTAGAGTGTCCCACAGTTGATAAAAGAGTGTGTGTGTGTGTGTGTGTGTGTGTGTGTGTGTGTGTGTGTGTGGTGTGTGTGTGGCAGGCTTGCGTGTGTTGGCCAAATTCTGAAATCATGTCACTTGAGAACAAGCTGAAGGAGTAGAAGCTGTTTAGACAGGGAAACCCTCCATTGAGAGAAGGCTATCATAACAGCATTCTGCCATGTGCAGGGATTGCTGCTGACTGTGGGCACAGACAATGCTGTATTGCCTGTCACTTCCACTCCCAGGGCCTCATACTATTCATCTGCAATGTGAGAGGCTTGTATGAGATTCCTGATTCTCAACTCTTGCTGCAATTAGAATCACATAAAGAGCTTTTAACAAATACAGATTGTGGGGCTCCATCCCAGATAAGCATCTCTTCGGGAGGGAAACAGGCATTTGGTATTTTAATCGTTCCCCAGGTCCTTCTAATGTGCATTCAGTGAGAATGGGCAGGCACTGGTCTAGATTACCACTGGGTAATTCTAGATTATCCTAGAGGCCTCTCCTAGTGCAATAGGCAGGAACCCTTCTAGCTCTAAAACTTTACTTAACTCAGTCATATACATAATTCTCTTCCCATTTCCTCTGTGACTCTGGAAGGAATCATAATCCTAAGGGAAACTCAATACATAAAATATTGATGTTCATTTTGCAAACACTCGATAAATAAATTCACTGAAGCCGGCTGAACATGAAAAATCTGTGGAAAGAGAACTCCATTATAGAAGAGCTACTTGAGTCTTAATTCAGGATCAGTTTGCTCCAACATTCAGCACATTTTTCACCAGCTTGATTATGTCGTATCCCATCCACAGCAGATTAGAAGCACAAATTGGAAGGTTAGTTTGGTGAAAGAGCTGGTTATGTTTATTAACAGTGGAAAAGAAGAAGAACTAGCATCTTGACAGTGAAAAAGAAAACTCAAATGATATAAAAAGACAGCACAGGAACCAATGTAAAATCATAGTCTGGGGATGGTGAGTGCAGGGGCATACTGCTCTACACATTTTTAGAGACTGTCAATATCTCTGTGTTACTCTATAACAATTATGGAGAAAAGAGCTTATGTTGACTGAGCTCTCCTTAACAAGGCAAGGACACGTGTGTACGTGTACCTGTTTTTGTATCTGTTTGGTGATTTTCTAAGCACTGATTTTAAATGTTCAAACCTTGAGGGTTAGCATAAAACACTGTTGTATTCTTGACAGGCTTTTAAAAATAGACCTGATATCTATAGACTTTTCAACCTCAAAAACATTCTTCAGGTTTTCGTCAGACAATATTCACCCTGGATGTAACCCATGGATAAGTTTAGAAACCCCAGAATCTGTAGGTGGGCAGAATGAGACACAGTTTCTCCTGCCACTCTTAGTCAGTAAACCTGATCTCAAACCGCTCAGTCACTCCCACTCTGCTTCTGATAACAGCTATAGTTACTGAAGGAGACTCAGGCTATGAGGAAGAAGACTTGGTGTTCGATGTGCCAAGCAGCAATGAGTGGAGAATAAACCTGTCGGGTTTCCAGACACTATGAGGATCTAAGAGGAAGCTGAGACTGAACAACTAAGAGACCACTCAGATGATGAGCTACTTCAGTGCTCATCATCATTAGTTGTGGCACTTTAATAAGTCATGGTATTTCAAGAAAAGAGAAACAGATGAGTGGGAAACTATCCATGGAACTGGTAGACCATTGACTAACTATGAGTAAATACCATGGCAAGCAGTGACCTTATTCACAATAACGTCTCCTCATAAGACACTGCTATTTTATACTAGATCTACTGCATTTAGTTAGAAGCAGCACTTTACCAACTTACTTTTCTGTAGCACAGGAATCATATTTCTCTTAAAACTAGAGCGGAGGGCCTCTGCCACATTTTCACATCTGAGTAAGTCTTGCTCCTCCACTGGATATGAGCCTTGCCTATAATATTAGGTAGAATACCTTGCATTCATGAATGTTTCCTGCTTGATAACCCAAGGAAGAATTACGACATATAAATCTCACATCCTAAGACACATTTTTCCACCAATAGTCATTCCTAAAGAAACAGAATTAGGATCCCAAGTCACATCCCTTCCCAACACCATTTACTTAAGAGCTGACAGTGGTGTGTGAAGATAGGAGGTCTAGCACATCTTCCTGTTGTTTATTTGAGTGACTTTAGACAATGAGGTGGTATGCTAGGGACAGCATTGGATAATAATGACACCAAGAGGGCTGGGGTCATTGCAACACCTTGTGACCCCCAGCAGGTTACTTTCCTCATCTAAACTTCAATATCCTCTTCTATAAAATGAGAGATGTGCTGGGCAACATCTAAAACTCCTTCTATTAGCCCTGTGAGCCTCTAAATCCCAATCTCATTGCCTTCAGTAACCTCTCCAGTTGTGTGCACAATCATATCTTCCTGGAATTCCCCTCTGCTCTTTCTGACTCTAGTACTTCAGCCTGGGTATGAGAAGAGCAAGCTTCTAGTCCCAGTTCTACCTCTTGGTTGTTGGGTGCAGCAAGTATGCTCCTCACTTATCTCTAGGACACAACTAAATAAAACGTTCTCTTAATGCATCTAAAAATCGGCTCTAAAACTCACTCCTAAGAATATTTTTTCAAACAGCTGCATCCATCACAGATAGTGAATTTTACAAAACACAGTACAATGGCTGCAATCTTAGCTATTTTTGAAGAGCTAAAAGAATTACAGTTCTGTCCCAAGGGAAAGGTGTTGCTGGTGTCCCCACTCCCCCTTTTATTTAGCACTCCCCTGTTCATAGTCAGCAGACTGTTATTATCTTTACATTTACCTGCCAAGCAACCTCAAAAAAACAACCAACCTCAAAAAAACCATTCAGGCACAGTAGTTACAGAAACCAAAGAGGTGGCCAATAGTCCGGCTCCAACTATCCCCTCGTTACATGCCTAAGAATTAAAGAATGATCTCTTTTTGCAATTAACATGCCCTGTACTGCAGGTATACCATGAGCTAAAAATAATATGTTCTCTACAATCCTTTGGCCCGCAAGAAGCTCGAGAGAGGGAGGGAGCGGGGGAGGGGAAGAGAGTAAAAGAGTGGAATGCCATGCCATGAATCCTAAACATCTTCCTAATTGGATAATTAAAAGAGCTCTGGATGGCAGTTCAAACAGCCTGGATTCTGGTAAGGGCTCCCCTACATATTTAGCCATCTGTGTGGCCTTGGCTTGATCTTCCACCCTATCTAGGCTGTTTATAGAATTACAGGTTTTGCAACCTAGTAGGCAACCCTTAAAAAGTTATCCAATCTATTGTTCTTTTCAAACTTTCTCATGCATAAGAAGCACCTCAAGAGCTTAACAAAACACATAGGGGGTCCCCACCACCCAGAGTCTCTAATTCAGTATGTCTGGGGTGGGGTCCAAGAATAGGCATGTCTAACAAGTTCCCAGGTAATGCTGCTGCTTCTGGGCCTGAGACCACACTTCGAGAAGCACTGATCTGGCCCAGTTATGTCAGAATTCTGACATTACAATTCTGGGCCAGATCAGTGCTTCTCAAAGTGTGGTCTCAGGAAATCAGAATTTTCTGGAGTAGTGGCATTGGCAATATGCCAGTGCTGAGGGTGCACCAGACCTTTTCAATCAGAATATCTGGTTGTGTGGCCCCAGCATCTCTATTATAACAAAATCCCATATAATCTTTTTTTTTTTTTTTTTAGACAGAGTCTTACTCTGTCACCCAGGCTGGAGTGCAGTGGCACCATCTCAGCTCACCGCAACCTCCACCTCCTGGGTTCAAGTGATTCTCCTGCCTTAGCCTCCCAAGTAGCTGGGACTACAGGCATATGCCACCATGCCCAGCTAATTTTTGTATTTTTTAGTAGAAATGGGGTTTCACTGTATTGAACAGTCTGGTCTCAAACTCTTGACCTCATGATCCACCCCCCTCAGCTTCCCAAAGTGCTGGGATTAGAAGCATGAGCCATCACACCAGGCCCAAACTCCCCATATAATCTTAATGTGCAGCAAAGGTTTAGAACACTGATTCCACTCAGCTGCCTCATTTTATAGTTAACAAAACTGAGGTTCAGCAGACCAATGATGGCTCATTCGGCACATAAGTCTGCACAAGGGAAGGTCTGGACACACTAATTTGGAGGACAGATTTTAATTCTAGGGCTGTCACACTCTATAGCTGCATTTCTCCTTTTTCTTTTATCCCATCATTCCCAAATAATAAGAGGAAGACTTTCTTCATCTGGCCACTCCATGTAACCAGAAGGAGAATCCAACAGGACCACTCAGATTTGGAAGGCTCTTGCATTCTCAAAGCTCTCCTCCGGGTAGTTTCTAAATATAACAGGCAGTCAGACACTCTGAATAACTCTCGGCTGACTTGGCTTCCCTGGGATAAACTTTTTTTTTTTTTTTCTCCTAGATTATGCTGTACCAGGAATAGAGCCCTAAGGGGAGAAATTCCTCTTCAAAGTCAGAGCTAGATAACACTGTGTGTGGTATTCAGGTTGTTCTCCTTTAGAAAGAGAAAAAAAGGTGGGAGGCAAACTTCTAAAACCAGCCAACATCAAAAAGCATATTCCTACTTCGTCTGTGTGGTGTGCATGGAAGGGTGGCAGAAGAGAGGGGGATGTGGCCAGGCAAAAGACAATTAACACATCCTGCTCAGCAGAGGGAGGAACGTGGGCATCAGGTCCAGGTACTCCAGGCGGCAGTGGGTAACACGAAAAGTATGCATGCCAGCTACTGGCAACTGCCCTGTGCTGGCTCCACTGCCAAAGACCCAGAACCCAAGCTGGGTGCACAGTTCGCTCCCTGAGTGGTGGGCTCAGGCACAGCTCTGAGGTCATTTCTCAGCCAGGCAATAGACATGTTTACCCTGCACTCCAGCTCTTGCTGTTCTTTGAAGAAAGGGGGAATTTGATGTGACCTAAGAATCATCTGGAACATATACAGACATGGATATCTTCTCTCTCGCATAAACACAAAGTCCTTTTCCCACATTTCGGTGCAGGCCAAGCCTCTGTAGTTTC